GATATAATATCCCCTCTTCAAAGTGGTTTTAGAAACAGAATTGGGAAAAATGACATCAGACTCGAGACATTTATTCGAGAGGCTTTCGCCAAGATGGAACACCTTGTTGCCGTGGTCTTTGATCTTGAGAAGGCCTATGCTACTACGTGGCAGTATGGCATCATGAAATATCTTATTACCTATCAGATAGACATTTCAAAGTCCGTGTTGGTTCAACTTTTTCTGAAACGTCTAAACAGGAAATTTGGAGTCCCACTGAGTGGAATCCTATCAGTCATCCTGTTTGGTCTTAAAATCAATGATATAGTCAAAAGTCTTGGTCAATCAACAGAAGGGTCGTTATTTGTGGATGACCTCTTGATCCTTTACAGATCTAAGAGTTTAAACAAGACGAAAACGGCTTCAAATTCTCTAAATCTAAAACTGTGTGCATTCATTTCTGTCAAAAACGAAAAGCACACAATGACCCAAACCTTACACTCGATGGCACTAGAATTCCTGATGTTGAACAGACTAAATCTTTCGGTCTCATTTTTTATTCGAAACTCTCTTTCATACCACATATAAAGTATCTGAAGGATAAGTGTTCCAAGGCGATAAACATTATACGAGTCCTTATTCATACTGATTGGGGAGCGAACCGTGAAATGCTTTTGCGCCTATACAGATCACTTATTCGAACAAAACTGGATTATGGTTCTATGGTATACGGGTCGGTGCGCAGTTCGTACCTGCAGATGCTAGACCCAATCCATAACCAAGGGCTACGGCTTTTCGAACAACACCCTCGACCATATCGATGAACGCCGCATTTAAAAGGCAATCATTTGTTCAGACTCTATATCTGTCCTACAGAGTTTACAGTTACGAGATCCTTAAAACACACTCGTACAAAACCTTGCTCTTCGAATATCTCGTATCTTCAAAAAGACTAAAATAAATTTACTGTGGATTCCGAGCCATGTCGGAATTAAAGGCAACGAATTTGTTGACAGGGAAGCAAAAAATGCATTAAATCTCCAACAAACAAATATCAAACTAACATATACTGATTGTAAACCTATTATTTGTACAGCCATTCAAAATGAATGGCAGCAACGCTGGTCTCTCGAGACCAGCAACAACTTTTTAAAGTACAACCGAAACTTAAAACATCTATTCCAAGTCGGAAAGATCGTAGAGAGGAAGTTGTCCTCGCTCGGCTCCGCACTGGGCACACATATTCTACTGATTCGTACCTTCTAAAACGAGAAGATCTACCTTCATGCCACGCATGTGACACTCCATTTACAGTGGAACATTGTTTAAATAGAATGTTCCGATTTTAAACACATTCTTGATAACTACTTTCGAGTCCCGGATATGAAAACTCTTTTCCGTTCCGTGGACTCGAAGGCATTATTCAACTATTTGAAAGACATCGGTCTATTCTATAGACTCTGATGTCTTTTAACCCTCCTTACCCTTTTTGACGTTATAAATATCACATAGTCCATATCATCTATTCGTTATCTCTTTTATTATTTTAACCCCCTTTTTATTTTTATTTTTTACACATACAATTCGAATACTTTTAAAATTAACCTTTTTATCTGATTTTATCTTCGCTACTGACATGTTTGTTTAAAAAATAAAATTAATAAATAAATCACCATGGCCCGAAATGACCACAGCCGTCGATGGGCCGTTAAACCCAGAAAAACAAACCCAGAAAAACAACTCCTTGAGGAGAAATATGTGGGGACCCTGCAGATATAACCTTCACTACCGTCTTATATACTCCCCTATAAAATAGTGTAAATGTCTGACTATGTAATAACCTTCACTATCGTCTTATATACTCCCCTGTAAAATAGTGTAAGTGTCTGACTATGTCATAACTTTCACTACCGTCTTATATACTCCCCTGTAAAATAGTGTAAATGTCTGACTATGTAATAACCTTCACTACCGTCTTATATAATCCCCTGTAAAATAGTGTAAATGTCTGACTATGTAATAACCTTCAATACCGTCTCATATACTCCCCTGTAAAATAGTGTAAATGTCTGCCTATGTAATAACCTTCGCTACCGTCTTATATACTCCCCTGTAAAATAGTGTAAATGTCTGACTATGTATTAACCTTCACTACCGTCTTATATACTCCCCTGTAAAATAGTGTAAATGTCTGACTATGTAATGACCTTCACTACCGTCTTAATTACTCCCCTGTAGAATAGTGTAAATGTCTGACTATGTAATAACCTTCACTACCGTCTTAATTACTCCCCTGTAGAATAGTGTAAATGTCTGACGATGTAAGAACCTTCACTACCGTCTTAATTACTCCCCTGTAGAATAGTGTAAATGTCTGACTATGTAATAACCTTCAGTACCGTCTCATATACTCCCCTGTAAAATAGCGGAAATGTCTGACTATGTAATAACCTTCACTACCGTCTTAATTACTCACCTGTAAAATAGTGTAAATGTCTGACTATGTATTAACCTTCACTACCGTCTTATATACTCCCCTGTAAAATAGTGCAAATGTCTGACTATGTCATAACCTTCACTACCGTCTTATATACTCCCCTGTAAAATAGTGTGAATGTCTGACTATGTAATAACCTTCACTACCGTCTTAATTACTCTCCTGTAAAATAGTGTAAATGTCTGACTATGTATTAACCTTCACTACCGTCTTATATACTCCCCTGTAAAATAGTGCAAATGTCTGACTATGTCATAACCTTCACTACCGTATTATATACTCCCCTGTAAAATAGTGTAAATGTCTTACTATGTAATAACCTTCACTACCGTCTTATATACTCCCCTGTAAAATAGTGCAAATGTCTGACTATGTCATAACCTTCACTACCGTCTTATATACTCCCCTGTAAAATAGTGCAAATGTCTGACTATGTCATAACCTTCACTACCGTCTTATATACTCCCCTGTAAAATAGTGTGAATGTCTGACTATGTAATAACCTTCACTACCATCTTATATACTCCCCTGTAAAATAGTGTAAATGTCTATGTAATAACCTTCACTACCGTCTTATATACTCCCGTGTAAAATAGTGTAAATGTCTGACTAAGTAATAACCTTCACTACCGTCTTATATACTCCCCTGTAAAATAGTGTAAATGTCTGACTATGTAATAACCTTCACTACCGTCTTATATACTCCCCTTAAAAATAGTGTATATGTCTAACTATGTAATAACCTTTACTACCGTCTTATATACTCCCGTGCAAAATAGTGTAAATGTCTGACTATGTATTAACCTTCACTACCGTCTTATATACTCCCGTGCAAAATAGTGTAAATGTCTGACTATGTAATAACCTTCACTACCGTCTTATATACTTCCCTGTAAAATAGCGTAAATGTCTGACTATGAAATAACCTTTACTACCGTCTTATATACTCCCCCGTAAAATAGCGTAAATGTCTGACTATGTAATAACCTTCACTACCATCTTATATACTTCCCTGTAAAATAGCGTAAATGTCTGACTATGAAATAACCTTTACTACCGTCTTATATACTCCCCTGTAAAATAGCGTAAATGTCTGACTATGTAATAACCTTCACTACCGTCTTATATACTCNTGTCTGACTATGTAATAACCTTCACTACCATCTTATATACTCCCCTGTAAAATAGCGTAAATGTCTGACTATGTAATAACCTTCACTACCGTCTTATATACTTCCCTGTAAAATAGCGTAAATGTCTATGTAATAACCTTCACTACTGTCTTATATACTCCCCTGTAAAATAGTGTAAATGTCTGACTATGTAATAACCTTCACTACCGTCTTATATACTCCCCTGTAGAATAGTGTAAATGTCTGACTATGTAATGACCTTCACTATCGTCTTAATTACTCCCCTGTAGAATAGTGTAAATGTCTGACTATGTAATAACCTTCACTACCGTCTTATATACTCCCATGTAAAATAGTGTAAATGTCTGACTATGTAAATCCGATTTTCTTTAAATTATTGATTCTGATACAATGATACTTATTAACAGTGTCGTTGATCGAGGGAGTAATGATGAAAGTAATTACCTCACACATTTTATCGTTTGATACATATAGGATCTTAACTGAGTTTTCATTTCATATGAGATTTTATGAAACGAGTCTTAGGAGTTTTTATTTTTGCGAACCTTGGCGACAAAACAAATGAAAACAAATATAAGATACTTTTTATCACATAACTCAGAAATGTTACATTTTGAGAAGTTTTAAAGCCAAAATGAAGAGAGCTTAATCAAACGGAGACAGCCATTTTGTTGCGCCATTCACAATTTATGACGCCACGTCATTGTCAATATTATGACGTCACAATCGATTTCTTACTGGCACAGCGAATGAAAAACGCTCCAGGGTATATTACACTAGTGACATATGTAAAAAAATATTACACGGGCGAATTCACTGGATAACAGGGCGATTATGTGATACATAAAAATGAAATTCTTTCTGATGTTATAATGGAGCAGATTTCAGAAAACGTTTCAATGTTTTGTCCAGATTTAAGATTAAGACCTATTGTTGGCAGTATCTAAAATATCACGCAATGTCTGAATAATTTAAACTTTGTTTTAAAACTAATGTGTCTAAATGGAAAGAGTTTTTGACTTTTTGTCTAGTTTACCGAAGGCAGTGGAAATTGGTTTGCAAAAGTTTCTATGTGGTAGTGACCCTTTTCCATTACATACCATAAGATTTAGGTATCAATGCTGTTAAGTATTGGTCACAAGGAATCCCGGACTGTGCATATGAACGATTTAGCGAAGACTTTATAATGATTATTCTCAATTTGTGTCGGAAAGAAACAACTTTTATTTTAATGTTAAACATAACCAGCGAGGTAATGGAACGGCTATGGTGTTATATATATGATAGTTTCAAAGATTTAATTGTAATTATAGAAATATTCCGTGTTTCGTTTTCTGCGTTATAGTCCTGTGTCCGGAGTCTCCGCCACCGGACTCAAATTTAGTTGTCTTTCACGGGCACGGCAAATGGCGATTGACACGGTAGTCTGACGTGAGGTAATTTTGGGTTGTTAATGTCTATGTAAATATGTTAATAAGTACTGTATATAGTTCCTGTATATAGTAAATATGTTAACTGTTTGATGTTGTCGTGGTTATCTGTTGGTTTAGCAGGAACGGTGTAGTTCGACCGTAACAATGTGTTCAAAAGCTGCCGCTACTTTTGCTACTTCGCTGTGGGAATGTATTTGAAAGAGATCCTTTATGACAAAATAAAACACCGTATTTTATTTTATTTTTAAATCAGATTTGTTGGGAAAATAATTTCTTCTTACTTTTAGATGATGGTTACATAATCTGGCTTCACTGACAAGAATGTCTCCGATTTTCATATCAACAGGATACTATACAAGTCAGAGGCGATAATTTTCCATTTCTAGATGTTCTGTTTTAATTCACAGACGGAAACTAACTGATTTCAATAAATATCTTGGTTTTCAGTCTAGGCACACCAAAGATACATGTTAACATACCTTTTTGTTTTGCGTCAAGATTAGTAACCATAGTCAGTGATTATTAAAAATTAGATGAGCGACTAATATATAAAGAACCTTATCTCAAAAACAATTTTATCTAGACGAAATTATATTTAATGGTGTTGAAGGAGCTGTGGAGTACATTCCGATTTTTAGTTTTTAGTAAGTCAAAAAGGATAGTGTGCCGTTTGCTACTACATTCAACTCTAACAATTTGAACATGTTTTTAATTATTAAAGCTCACGAAGAACTTTCAAACAATAGCGAAACAATGAAACGTGTCTTTGAGAAAAGGAAAATATTAAATTGCAGAAGACAACCAATAGATTATAACTGTTTAGTTTGTAGATCAAAATCTGATACGTGGAACAAAATGAATGTAAATAACAGTTTTGTCAAAGTGTATGAAACCGAGATGTGGAACACGTAGCAAGCTTGTTGAATGTAATTCATTTGTTTCAATAATGACAAAAGATTCGGAATAAGATTAGTATATGAATTGCAAATAAAAAATGTAATTTTAGGCTCTATTTTTTTTTACAGATGATCTGACGTATGCGTGGGTCAAACTGGAAATGAACTACTTCAAAGAATGGCAGTCAACAGCCAACAAACCCAAACTGAGAGTTTACGAAAGTTATTATTTCACCAATATTACCATGAGTGTTCAAATAAACGTTTTTTACTTTTTTACTTTATGAAATGAATACATCAGATATTATTGAAAAAGAATTAAAAGATAAAATGCTTATTGAAATTCTAGAATCGATCCTTAACACGGGGAATTGTAAGCATCTCTTATAAGACAAGATTTACAACTTCCGTATGTTTGCTATATTCAGATGTACTAGGTGCTATGCTAATATTTATTTATTATCAGATGGTGTTACTCTTGAACGATGTATTCATTTTAGCAATATGTACATGTAATGTCTAAAGCCGTCTGCATTATGTGTATTTTGTTTATGACGTCACAATGCAAATACATTCAAATCGACTGAAGTGTACCTAGATAGGCGAAAGTACTAGCGGTATACTCTGTTGTGTGTTGTTTGGATTCTATTTCCACGGCCACAAGGACGTTATTCGTTTCTAATTTCCTTTTAGCCACTCCCCAAAGCTAGACAGTTTCAGAATATATCGCATAACCAAAAAACAGACATCACAAAAATTGATGACTTGCACACTTGTTCACTTTTGTGCATAAACTGCTTCGCGGATTTTACGCCAATTGCACAATGGTTTTTCGGTATATACCGTATAACCCCACAATAATCCTGGTTATTCCATTAATATCTTTATAAATAAAACTGTTTTTTGACATGAAGAGACTAATATATGTATACGGCCAGGAATGACTGTGGTCTAGAGCCGCAGCTGGGGACTAAGGTCATGACATATTACGTTGAACGTGTTTGCTGAGCATAAGACAAGTCCAGCAAGGATCCGTGATTAGCCCTGGGCAATTAGTCATGAACCGATTTCATAATCAAACTCCAATATCGTTCTTAAGCCCAGGATAAATTTGTAATAAAATCAGATTTAGTCAACCATATGGAATGAACTTGGTGAGACATAAAGCCGAATACCGTTTTAAATGTTTACACTTGACTTTTCGACAATATGACAAAGTCTTAAAAATTAAGCGAATTTATTATCACGAGTCTTCCTCAGTTAGAATCGAACTTGTTTATAATAGAATAGATCAAACGTCCAGACTATAACAGACAAGAGTATATGCATGTAACCAACCCCCCCCCCCCCCCCCCCCCCCCCTCTTAATGTTTTACATTATTTTCTGAATATAACTGCTGTAATAATACCAGATTTAATAACCCAGTGGACATAGTATTACTTATTTAATCTTAGTATCAAAGACATTCCTGATAAAAAAAAATGAAGGTCTTGCACAATTCGGTAATCCAAAATGGCGTCCATGTCTGATTTTCCAGATTTCCTAATAGCCTCGCATTTTTTTTTAAATTGGGGGGCGGATTAAGTGTTGGGGGGGGAATTAAGTGTTGGGGGAAATTAAGTGTTGGGGGGGATTAAGTGTTGGGGGGATTAAGTGTTGGGGGGGATTAAGTGGCTTTTGCAGAAAAGAATAGATGAATCTGCATATTTTAGGGCAAAAAAACTTCGTGTGCATAAATTTTATGCAAACAAAATCACCAACCAGTAAAATATAAGAGCACCAGTCACCAACAGCGCCATCGTGATCTTTTATTTTTTAGTTTGAATAAAGGTTTGGTACTTGAAATCAAGTATCTATAAGAAACATGAGTGACGCGAAATATTGCAATACCAGTTTACACGTAAAACGGCAATATATTGCTATAACTTAATGTTTGTGGGTTAAACCATAGGTATGAAAAATGTTTACATAAGTTACGCTGAGTTTGAATCAATGGTATCCAAATGAAATTCTTCGATGTTCTATTTCAATAAATACTTACGATGATTATTTTGGGGGTTTTACAGTCTAAACGGGAAAATTGTGCCCATTTTTGTGCAAAAGCATACAAATCCTGGTTACTCCTTCTTTTTTCTCTATGTATTGCAATAGAAAAATTGCTTACATAAAACCCACACTACAATGAATGGATGTAAACAAAAGCAGTAAAATATTTGAAAACATAATCGATAAAAATATGCTTCCTATTCATAGCTTATGATTAGGAAGGTATTGATTATGAGTAACATTTCCTGAGTAAAGTTTATTTCGTCCATACATGGTATACAAATTTAAAGGAAGGTGTATCCCCAGGGGTCTTGTAGTCCTACGATCCATCAATTTGAGGTGAATTCTAAATATGCAAATAAAATATGATCACGTGATCGCTGACGACTTTGAGTATAAAAGGTGTCTGTCCTTATTCACTGTCACGCCAGTCCACGGGGGAATTCTATCTCGGTTGAAGGGGTATGTACATCAATATTATACACATTTCTTCATTGATACAGCAGTGCATTGCCAAGTAGGACTTTATTGCTGATACAAATGAAAGAAAATTGCATTATCGAACGTGGTAAAAAGAATTTGGTACCTGTGTATTAAAAAGTGAATTAATAACATTTGAAAAAATAAAAAAGATACTTTAAAAATATTTCTACCCTGCCTTGCAATTACCAAAATTAAAAAACTTCTATGTATTAACAAATAACCTTTGTAAATGACCATTTCATTTTTTAACAAATTATGTTATCTGATTGGCCAATCAGCTTCTTAAAAATAGTAAATAACACTTATTTTGATACTCACATAACCATTTTAATCTTACCGCTTGTTTTTGAATGCTTTATATTGACAGGATGATTACGGATTTAGCTTAAATTAGTAAAAATGTTGTATAACCTAAAGGTATTTTTTATTTAAGTATATATGAATAAACTTGACGGAACAAGGCCATGATTTGTGAACAAAATATAGACGGTTTAATTTGGATTGGCAGTATTGAAGAGTTTAAAGAAAGGTCTGCTTGTATTTAAAAGGAGACAGTGATATTGAGTCTGAAATTAGATAACGACGCACACACATTTATAATTATATTTTTATATACAATGATGTGTTTTAACAGGTTAATACAATGACGTGTTTTTACAGGTCAATACAATAATGAAGTTTCTGGGATTACTCGTCGTCAGCCTTTGTTTGGCAGCCACTGCCCTTGGTCAGAGTGCTTTTTCGACGAATTCTCTATCGCAGACTGTGCAGAATGCTCTTGGAGCAAATAGTATCGGGCAAAATACTTTGGCTGCTTCAAGTAACGCAGTCAACAACGCAGTCAACAGCGTAGTCGGCAATACCAACTCTGCGGCGTCATGGAACATACCAGCAAACTCTCAATTCAACACCGTCAACGGCAATGGAATATTTCAGAGCCCACCACAGTCTATACAAACAGGCAACATGTTCGAAAATAGCATCGGCGGCTCCGGAATGCAAAATCAAGTTTTGTTTAATTCCGCTAGCAGCCCCCAAGGGATCCCTGTTAACACCATGTCTATGCCAAACCAACAAGTACCTAACTTTAACGCTCAATTCCCAATGGGTGGTGAAGTTTACTTAAACGGTGGTCATGCCGGTGCCCAAACCTTTAACAGCATACCGACCTTTACCAGTGCCCAAGCCTTTAACAGCCAGCCGCTCTTTCAAAATGCCCCGGTCTTTAACGGTGTCCAAGCCTTTAACAGTCAGCCGCTCTTTCAAAATGTCCCGACCTTTACCGGTGGCCAAGCCTTTAACAGCATCCCATTTCCGGTTACCGGTGGCCAAGCCTTTAACAACATGCCGTTTCCCGGTGGCCAAACCTTCTCGACCTTTACCGGTGGTCCGGAATATAACAACGTCCCTTATTCACCAGCGTTTTGTAAGTCTTCCGAACATAGTCTAAAACCATTGCACTGTATCAATAATTATATTTTAAGTCGACGTGTATTAAATGTTCATCCCTGAACAGTTGGAAAATAAAACAAGAGACGTTTTTATTTATTTTTAAGTGATTTTCTTTTCACAAGTTTTCGTAACAACAAACTGTCAGACTGTCAGTTTACAAGTAACCCTACATAAAACAATTTATTTACCCACCATCATTTTGACATTTTTTCAGTAAACTCTGCACCACCATTGTATGACGCCATTCCAGCAGCCAATGCCTTCCCTTCGCCAGTATACGACCAAATGCAATATGCTGGATTTAATGCCGGAATCATGGACAACTTTTCTGGCGCGTACAATAGCATGTTATCGACAGCACCTCAGGGCCTTGCAACCGGCCAACAAGTATACTGCGTTCCTTACCGTGAGTATCAGATACTGTCACGTTATATATGTCTAATACTGCCAAAATACATATGTCTAATACTGTCACGTTATACATATATAATACTGTCACGTTATACATATATAATACTGTCACGTTATACATATATAATAATGTCACGTTATACATATATAATATTGTAACGTTATACATATATAATACTGTCACGTTATACATATATAATCCTGTAACGTTATACATATATAATTCTGTCACGTTATACATATATAATGATGTCACGTTATACATATATAATGATGTCACCTTATACATATATAATACTGTCACGTTATTCATATATAATACTGTCACGTTATCCATGTATAATACTGTCACGTTAAACATATATAATACTGTCACGTTATATATGTATAACGTGACAGTCTTATATATGTATAACGTGACATTATTGTATATGTATAACGTGACAGTATTGTATATGTATAACGTGACAGTATTAGACATATATAATACTGTCACGTTATCCATATATAATAATGTCACGTTATTAATATATAATACTGTCACGTTATAGATTTATAATAGTATGAAGTTATAGACTACAGTCACTCTATAGATATATAATACTGTCATGTTATAGATATATAATTATGTCATGTTATAGATATATAATATTGTCACGTTATAGATATATTAAACTGTCACGTTATACATATATAATAGTGTCACGTTATACATATATAATATTGTCACGTTATACATATATAATAGTGTCACGTTATACATATATAATATTGTAACGTTATACATATATAATAATGTCGTGTTATACATATATGATAATGTCATGTGTCACATTATAGATATATAATATTGTCACGTTATACATATATAATAGTGTCACGTTATACATATATAATAATGTCACGTTATAGATATATAATAATGTCATGCTATAGATATATAATAATGTCATGCTATAGATATATAATAATGTCATGCTATAGATATATAATAATATCATGTTATAGATATATAATACTGTCGTGTTATAGATATATAATACTGTCGTGTTATAGATATATAATACTGTCATGTTATAGATATATAATTATGTCATGTTATAGATATATAATAATGTCATGCTATAGATATATAATAATATCATGTTATAGATTACATATATAATACTGTCACGTTATCCATATGTAATACTGTCACGTTATACATATACAATACTGTCACGTTATACATATACAATACTGTCACGTTATACATATACAATACTGTCACGTTATACATATACAATACTGTCACGTTATACATATATAACAATGTCACGTTATACATATATAAGACTGTCACGTTATACATATATAATCCTCTCACGTTATACATATATAATAATGTCGTGTTATACATATATGATAATGTCATGTGTCACATTATAGATATATAATATTGTCACGTTATAGATATATAATACTGTCATGTTTTACATATATAATACTGTCGTGTTATACATATATAATACTGTCACTTTATACATATATAATACTGTCACTTTATACATATATAATACTGTCACTTTATACATATATAATAATGTCACCTTATACATATATAATACTGTCACTTTATACATATATAATAATGTCACGTTCTCCATATATAATACTGTCACGTTATCCATATATAATACTGTCACGTTATTCATATATAATACTGTCATGTTATACATATATAATACTGTCACTTTATACATATATAATAATGTCACCTTATACATATATAATATTGTAACGTTATACATATATAATATTGTCACGTTATAGATATATTAAACTGTCACGTTATACATATATAATGATGTCACCTTATACATATATAATACTGTCACTTTATACATATATAATAATGTCACCTTATACATATATAATACTGTCACATTATAGATATATAATATTGTCACGTTATAGATATATTAAACTGTCACGTTATACATATATAACAATGTCACGTTATACATATATAATGATGTCACGTTATACATATATAATACGGTCACGTTATACATATATAATACTGGCACGTTATACATATATAATACTGTCATGTTATACATAAATAATACTGTCACATTATACATATATAATACTGTCACTTTATACATATATAATAATGTCACGTTCTCCATATATAATACTGTCACGTTATCCATATGTAATACTGTCACGTTATACATATATAATCCTGTAACGTTATACATATATAATTCTGTCACGTTATACATATATAATGATGTCACGTTATACATATATAATCCTGTAACGTTATACATATATAATAATGTCACGTTCTCCATATATAATACTGTCACGTTATTCATATATAATACTGTCATGTTATACATAAATAATACTGTCACATTATACATATATAATACTGTCACTTTATACATATATAATAATGTCACGTTCTCCATATATAATACTGTCACGTTATGCATATATAATAATGTCACGTTATCAATATATAATACTGTCACGTTATAGATATATAATACTGTCACATTATAGATATATAATATTGTCACGTTATAGATATATTAAACTGTCACGTTATACATATATAATAATGATATATAATACTGTCACGTTATAGATATATAATAATGTCACGTTATACTTATATAATACTGTCACGTTATACGTATATAATACTGTCACGTTATACTTATATAATACTGTCACGTTATATATGTATAACGTGACAGTCTTATATATGTATAACGTGACAGTATTAGACATATATAATACTGTCACGTTATAGATTTATAATACTATGAAGTTATAGACTACAGTCACTCTATAGATATATAATACTGTCATGTTATAGATATATAATAATGTCATGCTATAGATATATAATAATGTCATGTTATAGATATATAATACTGTCATGTTATACATATATAATACTGTCGTGTTATAGATATATAATACTGTCACGTTATACATATATAATAATGTCACGTTATACATATATAATAATGTCACGTTATACATATATAATACTGTCACGTTATCCATGTATAATACTGTCACGTTATACATATATAATACTGTCACATTATAGATATATAATATTGTCACGTTATAGATATATAATACTGTCACGTTATACATATATGATAATGTCATGTTATACTTATATAATACTGTCACGTTATACATATATAATAATGTCACGTTATAGATATATAATAATGTCATGTTATATATATATGATAATGTCATGTTATAGATATATAATACTGTCACATTATAGATATATAATATTGTCACGTTATAGATATATAATACTGTCACGTTATACGTATATAATAATGTCATGTTATAGATATATAATATTGTCACGTTATAGATATATTAAACTGTCACGTTATACATATATAATAATGTCGTGATATACATATATAATATTGTCATGTTATAAATATATAATAATGTCATGTTATAGATATATAATACTGTCACGTTATATATATATAATAATGTCATGTTATACATATATAATACTGTCGTGTTATACATATATAATACTGTCACGTTATAGATATATAATACTGTCATGCTATAGACTACAGTGTCACATTATAGATATATAATTGTCATGTTATAGATATATAATAATGTCATGTTATAGATGTATAATTATGTCATGTTATAGATATATAATACTTATCATTGCTGGTTTAGTTCGTTTTAGATCTTGATCATTAGTGTTTCAATGGTTTAGTAGATCTTGCTCTTGTGTCTTGACGTTGTGGTAAATTTTGCAATTGTGCTTTGTATATGTTTTTTTTTAAACTTTGTCGTTGGGCATTTATGTTTTGGGGAGTTTGCCACTATAATATATATGTATGAGTCGAATGGTTCACAAAGGCCATACATTAATGTGTATATTCTGCATGGTAACCTCTAAATAACAAATCGTATCGTACTGCCACTTGCCTCTACAATACACGAATCATGACAATGCTTACTTTTTTGTGACCATTTGAACTGTTTATATGTAGTTCATGAATAGATATCGCTCACGAAGTTAATGTATTGACAACTCTCATTTGTTAATTGTTAATAATTCTCGTGTATTTTATTAACTGATAATTCTTATGTTCCTCATGATATCTTTTTAGCAAATGGAGGTCTTACACAAACCCAAGGCAAGAAGTAAACCATTGGTACGTTTTATTCAAGGGTAACTCTGATTTTTCTCGAGTACCCGCCTTACAAATACTACTAACATGATTTGTTTGTGTAAGTATTTTGACATCAGGCGTTGGTATAGCACCTATGCGTTCTCTCTCTTGCGTGTAAGGGTGTACTGTGTGGCACTGACGCCTTAGATAATGGTGCATTTATCTCCGGCTTTGTGTCTCTGATCTAGGTTTATGTATTTGAACCTTGAGTCACATATACGTGCATTGTTTAAAGAAAAGAATAAATCATAACCTTTCCATATTAGACCCAGTAATGACTCTTGTCTCAGCCTCAGAAATGAAAGAAGGAATAGTGTTGGACGAAAACTGATGCTGTGTGTTACACAGGCTTTATTTTTTATAACACGCTCACTAGTTAGAGAAACTATGCGATTAATGACAAATATGCCTTGAAATTTTGAACATCTGGCCCTTTCTGAATGTGTTCCTGTTCCCCCTGCTCCACAAAGCTGATATGTGTCTCTGATAGCTCCACTGCTGTACAAGAAAATTGGAGTTCGAACTCCTTCGGCCAAACAGTAACCATTAGTACCTTTGCTTCTAAGAACGTCAAACTCCATTATTATGTTAGGAGAGACTCGGAAATTAGATCCAAAACTTCGTATCCCAACCAAGCAATACTTATGTGACATAAGAAAAAAATGCTCAACATCAAGATGTCTCCGATATTTTGTTTTTATGGTTTCTTTTTCTTATTAAAAGACAAGTTTCCAAGGAAACACTAGCACTCGTAAATGACGAAAAATATAATACCGTACCTAGGGTCCGGTTGTTTAAAACCTGAAATTGATAAAAAAAATAAAAAAATCGTTGTTCTGCTTTTTCATGAGTGAAGTTTTGAATTTCAGGATTTTTGAAAAGATTTTTGCTTTAAGTGGTCATAAATTTAATGGAGCTTTGAACCACTGGTCCATGTATAAGAAACAAATATAACGATGGTCTGTTTAATCATTTGGACGTTTCTTCTTACAGAAAACACCTAAATGGCAAATACCTGGTGGATTGACCTGCGAACCCACTCCGGACCCCGAGATTCCCTCCTTACTTTTATCATTCTCTCGTTGTTGAGTGTCGTGTCAGTTTGTTCATAAATCTTTTCTCGTCTTAATGAATTTTGTTGTTTTATTTACACCTTGGGGGAATCGTTTAATTGATCAATTTACTGTATATGTCTACAGACCACTTAACTACAGCTTCGAGGTTGTGTAACTTTTGTTTCTAAATACGCAAATTCCTGATGGAAGACACAATAACGTAAATGCACAGTGATGATATTTGCGCTCACAGCCACATTAAGGAGTAATCAACTTCGAAATATTTCCGTAATTAACTAGGCGTAGTCTGTTATATTTTATGATTCACAGAACTCTCCATAAACCATAGTGTTTACCTAAAACTCGGTTCTGATTAAAATGTAACAAAACGTGGTTTTGATGTTTAAAGTCTTAATAAAAAAAAATCGGAATGGAAATGATGACTTAGGCGAAGAACTAGTTGTTCTTCCACAGGATAATGTTTCACATAAGATACACGTGAAATAAAATACAATATACATAGAAAACGTTGTCACACAGTTTCCGTACAAATAACAAATATACATTTTCCTGATTTCCAGTATTTCGAGCGTAACTTCTCGAGTCGGAGACCTCAATGTGCCGAATGTATTCTTATAACAATTCATATTTCAATTCAACCTACAATAGGTATCCATGTTGCTATATGTAGTAGGTGTCGTTAACAATACAATATAACGTAAAACTGAACCATTGTAGAAGATGACAGACAGCTGAACTTGTATACATCACTGATAGATATTTTTTTCATAGTTACTTGTGCGCGTATTTATGTCACTAGCTTAAGATTAGTAGTAATAAAATAAGTATGCGATCAGAAAAAATTCAAACATGATTGAGGCGAATCAGATTTGACCAGAACGAAAATTACCCCAGGTGTATTCAGGTAGCCGTTAGTTATAAGCTTTAAATAATCACAAAAGTTCTCTGAACCACTTAATCATACCAAATATACAGGAACAGTTAACAATACAAATTGTTTTATGTAGAATGTTCCATATGTTAATAACACTTCGTTTGAATTTGTCTCTATTTCAAAATTTCAAACCGTAACATAAATATCCTTATATACACCTACTTCGTATTTTTTTTCTATTTGACGTATTTCCTCTCAGTAATTCAAAATAAACAACAAGAAACATTTCACCGACTCTTATCAATATAAATTACCTATCGCTACAAGTTCCTATCTATCTTTTTTTTATTGTATACACCAACGTGTGTTTATGTGTCAAAATACGATTAAGCATAAACGTACCCATGTTTAGGTATCACTTGTGGAGTGAATAGTAAATCCACGTTGTAGTAACTCCTATTTCACTTAATCCATCACATGTTGATGAATCTTACTAAATAAATCACATATGGCTTAAGGTACCATACTTGCGCTTGACAATGACGAACTACATGACTATTTTAAAAAATTGAATCTTAATGNTTCTTTTGTTTGCTAGTGACATTTTTATAAGTTGAACACTGAATTATTTGTATGTAACTACACGTATATATATTTTTTATGTACTATGCTATGGTATAGAATGTTTGCCTGTCATGCACTCAAACTATGTTATATATACATGACCTCTTGTTACACATATTATGTGTGTCTGAGTGAAATAAAAATCTTGAAATCTTGAAATCTTGCTTGCGCGAACTCGCAAAACCGAAACAAGCCGTATACCAATAATTCAAACTTATGTTGATGAAATTTGGTTTGTATGGCTATTATTAGAAGCTCCACAAAAATAACATTTTTTTATAATGAGATAACTATTTTTGACTTTGTCGTCATACCAAACACTCACATATCACGCTGGTTAAAGACTGTTTTCGTTTATCCATGACAAAAAAATGATAATAAGCCACGCCTCCCCCTCAATCTCAGTGACGAAACCCTTAAAAATATTTGATGCCAGCGATATTCTAATTTTTGTTATCCCATAACATAAGGTTTATCAATTTTCTGGAGTATAACAATTTACAAGGTTGATACATTTTCTTGAGTACAAAGATGTATCACTTTTCTAATACAACAGTTAAAAAGATGTACCAATTTTCAGGAGTTAAACAGTTAAAATGATATATTAGTTTTTAGGAGTATAACATTCAAAAAGATATACATGTTTCAATTTTCTGGAGCAGAAATGTCTAAAAGATATATAAATTTTCAAGAGTATAACAGTTAAAAAGTTATACATGTATGGATTTTCTGGAGTTTAACAGTTAAAAAGATTTTTCAATTTTCAGGAGTATAACAGATAAAAATATGTATCAATTTTCTGGAGTAAAACATTCCAAAATATGTACATGTATCAATTTTCTAGAGTTTATAACAGTTAAAAAGATATATCAATTTTTACGAGTATAACAGATAAACATATGTATCAATTTTTAGTAGTATAACATTCTAAAAGATATATATGTTTCAATTTTCTGGAGCATAACAGTCTAAAAGATATATCAATTTTGACGAGTATAACAGTTAAAAAGTTATGCATGTATGAATTTTGTGGAGTTTAAAAGTTAAAAAGATGTATCAATTATCTGGAGTATAACAGATAAAAAAATGTATCAATTTCCTGGAGTATAACATTCCAAAAGATGTACATGTATCAATTTTCTAGAGTATAACAGTTAAAAAGATATATCAATTTTCTAGATTATATCAGTTAAAAAGATGTATCAATTTTCTGGAGTATAACAGTTAAAAAGATGTATATGTATGAATTTTCTGGAGTTTAACAGGTAAAACGATGTATCAATGTTCTGCAGTATAACAGTTAAAAAGATATATCAATTTTCTGGAGTATAACATATCAATTTTCTGGAGTATAACAGTGAAAATGATATATCAATTTTCTGGAGTATAACAGTTAAAAAGATATATCAATTTTTTGAAGTATAACAGTTAAAAAGGTATCAATTTTCAGGAGTATAATATACCAAAAGATACATCAATTTTCTGGAGCATAACAGTTAAAATGATCTATCAATTTTCTGTAGTATAACAGTTAAAAAGATGTATCAATTTTCTGGAATATAACAGTTAAAAAGATATATTAATTATCTGGAGTATAATAGTTAAACATATATATCAATTTTCTGGAGTATTACAGTTTAAAAGATGTATCAATTTTCTGGAGTATAACAGTTAAAATGATATATCAATTTTCTGGAGTATAACAGTTAAAAAGATGTATAAATTTTCAGGAGTATAATATTCCAAAAGATACATCAATCATCTGGAGCATAACAGTTAAAATGATGTATCAATTTTCGAGAGCATAACAATTAAAAAGATATATCATTTTTCTGAAGTGTAACAGTTAAAAAACGTATCAATTTTCTCAATCTTCTGGAGTTAAACAGTTACACAGATATATTAATTATCTGGAGTGTAATATGAGAAAACCAGAAGAAAAAAATCATCATTAATGTTAAATAAAACATGCTTAAAATGTGTTTAAAATAAGGTACTTCATAATGTCATCTACCAAGAAGCAAAAGAAGACGTGCTCATAACAGAAAAACTAAAGTTTAAAATTTAGACTAATGGAATAATGTACCTAAGCGATGAATGTTTCTGCAAGGTTTGTTATGTTAGCACCTATCGCTATTGATGACAAACTTATTAAAGCCCGGTAGCAATAGAAATGTGTGTTATAGGACCATAACAATATTTGCTAAAATACTCATTATTTTTGTTTACATCTTGATAAAGTAGTTACCCTTTATGTAGTTATTTCAAACAGTTCTTTGAAAAGCACATTTAGTCTTTACAACAATGAATTGATGACGCCACAGTAGCGATTAATGACGTTGGAATAGAAAATGATGGTATAGTCTCACAACAACATTTGCCTTCTCAATGTATTGCAAAAGAAGAATGCAGAGCAAATATAAATATGGTACAATATTTGGGAATCTTTGTGACTGAAGTATAAAGTCTGATATATTTGTGAGAATTGTTGTTGTAATGGATATCATTGCAGCTACCACAGATTACAATCTGCTCTAAAATGTGGCGAATGTTATATAAAATAATAGTCTAGAAAGTAGTTGGAAGCTGCAGTGTCTTTGATTTTGTTGCATTCATGAAGTGGAGATTAAATTAAGTGATCTTTATAAAGGTCGTAATTTAAGTTACTCGCAATAATTTAAGCTGACAAAGAATTGCGTAAAATGTGCAATTTCCAGAAAATTTAAAAACAGTAGTTGTTTCATATTTGACATAATTATTTTGACCTGAAAAGATTTTAAACTGCTAGGTAGATTGAAAATAATACATATCGGGAACAATAATATTTAGTTCTTTAAACATTCTACATTTTATTAAAGGATATCTATATATTTATTCATCATTAAATAAAGTTCAATTATTTCATTGAGGTAATACGGTATTTCATTTTTCGTAATTACATGCATTAATGTTAGTTTATATTATTTTTCTACTATTTAGGTTTCCCATCACAACACATTGCAAAGTTTATCAAGTGACGTCCTTTTGCGTAGCGCTGTCGATACAGCTTCTAACTTAATATATTATATAAGAGTTTTGATTTTATATTTAATTTGAGAACAATTATCCCACACTGCATCTGCATATTCCATTACAGGTCTTACTTAAGATCTATCTACCTAATTCATTTCAACAGTTTTTATTCATGATGGTGTATGAATGGGATTGAACAATTGGGTATGCCTATATCAGTTCTCTCCTGCATGCATTTGCATGAATCAGCATGTATATTTATTATAATTTATGGTGAAATGAAAAATTGAAAAAAGACACGACTTATATACAAAACAGTTATCGATGTGCAAGGCATATGGTATAGGGGAGATNTTATTAATTAAAAAATACAAATATAAGTCCATGTTGAGTATATCAAATTCACACTGTGTTTATAGTAAGTGTTTAATGACATTGATAACGGTAGGTATGTTGGATGTTCAATATGTTTACAATATTAGTACATTATTATGTAAGTTGATAATATGTAATTATATTTATATAAACCTTTTAGACTTCACG